TAATTTAAACAAACTGTTAAGAAAACAAAACATCTTGATTGTTTAATAGCAAAGAATTTGATGAAGATTGTTTTTTGCAGTGTACGAAAATAAACTATTNGTTTTCGAAGTGGTAAATTCTGTAGCATCAGAAACGGTGCGGAGGTCGAGGTGAACTCGAGCCGGCAAAAAAAAAACAATATTGTGAAATTTATTAAGGGCAGCAGTCTACCGGATATCCGATCGGATATCCGAATCCGGCTGTTATTTTTTACAGGATATCCGGAATCCGGCTATCCGGCACATCCCTAGTAAAAACTTACTAAATTAAACCCAGATTTTGTGCTTTTCTTCAATATAAATATGTACTACGTTCCTTGAAAAAAAACATTCTCCTCTTAATATTTGTAAAAAGAAAACAAATTTTCTATGGTGACTATTAGGCTTTAGCATAAACATAGACAACGGCTTTGTGTGTTTGAAACTAGTTGGCTTGCTACAGAAGATTGTGTGAAACTATTCGCAGCTCATCTGGGTGATCTTAAAAGATCTCTTGAAGCTATTGAAGTTTTGAATCGGTACGCTGAAACAATATCAGAGGTCAAGGGTGTGGAAACGTACATGTAATCGTTTGTTTTGTTGGCTTCCATTTGGTTCAAAACTCTATTCATTATCTGATTAACATTTTTACAAGCTAGATATACGACGATTGACGTGGAAGCTGTCAACATAAAGAGTTTAATTGAAGATCTTAACTTTTGAGACTCTGCTCATAGATTCTGCAGAATGGTTAGAAAAAGATTGGTTCCTAAGATAGATTCCAAAAAAACGACGTAAAACATAAAATCACTAGTTTGAGAAATTAGTCATTTAAATACTATTCACGATGCAAATCAACGGACCCAAGGTTTGCCTCTGTTCCAATTCCTAAAGGGGTTACACGAATTGAAGATGGACATATTATCCCTAATATCTGCGTATTACTTCGAATCTTCTGCACTATTTCAGTGAAAGTCGCTTCTGCTATGATGAGCCAAGACAGACTAACCAGCCTCTTACCTTGGGCATTGGAATCATCTCTTGCGCGTACCACTGATTTAGAATCTACCATCTTAATGTTTTCTGACCGAAAACCTCAAAGTTTTTTCAATCAAAATTTCATAAAAATGTCATGATATTTTGTTCTAATTTACAGGTCTAGTTTGCAATTCGCCAAACATTCTGCAAAGTTTTATTAACAAACAATTATGCATAATGGCCGGAGAAGCCATAGGTTAGGTTAGGTTGGGCGGCAGTCCAAAGTAGGACTCACATAGACTCAAGGTCCTTCGTGATACTGCATGAGAGTTTTTTAATTATCACCGTTCCCCGGTAAACCACTTGGTGCAAGAAAGTGCAAAGGCTTCTGACGTTCACCACTTTGAGGTCATCGAGATCGTCGAAGAAATAGCTCTTGAGAGCCTTTTCTCTCCGTTTTGACAAAGCCTGGGAATGGCAGAGAACATGTGGAATGGTTTCGTCTTCTTCCATGAAGCTTCTGCAGTAGTCGTTCCAGGGTGCGGCCAGCCTAGCTGCGTGAAATCCGATCAAACAATGTCCGGTGAAAACCCCAGTCACTATGCGAATGTCCTGCCTCTTTAGATTAAGTAGAGACTTGGTGCTTTGGGCGTTCGTAGCAGGCCAGAGTGTTTTGGCAAGGTCAGTTCCATTCGCCATCTTTCGTTGGCAACTTCTATGAATTTTTAATTCAGTAGATATTTGCATGTTTGAAGAGGGATTCCGAGAGTATCCCTTATGTCTGTATCAGGAAATGACGTTCCATGACGCTCGATTTCGTCAGCCTTGCAGTTTCCCTAAATGTCGCAATGGCCAGGTACCCAGACAATGTGTGTTCTGAATGTCTCAGCCATCTCGTTGAGAGGACGGTGGCTTTGATGAACTACTTTTGAAGTCAGCGACATATTTTTCAGAGATTTTATTGCCGCCTGGCTGTAAGGGAAGATGTAGATATCATGACTAGTAATCGTATCACACTAGACCAGTGATGCGGCCTTTGAGATAGGCATCAGTTCCGCTTGAAAAACACTGCAGTAATCAGGGAGGCGGAAGCTGTATGATATGCCTAACTGATCCGAATAGACCCCATCACCGACTCTTTTTTGAGCTTCGATCTGTCCATGTAAACATGGATAGATCCGCTTTTCCTGACCGTGTCCATTGACCATTCCTCCCCTGAGAGGAGAAGGATCGTGAACATGGCCTTAGAAGTGCGGGTGGGTGGAATATAATCGGTTGTAGGAAACTGAGTAAGGTCGTTCAGAATTTTACAGTAACTGATATGTGGATGCATCCATTTCTTGGTCGCGTTGAGCCTAATGGCGGTACTATATGCCATCTTTTTTCCATATAGATCCGTCAGGAGTAATGCTGGAGCGTGTTGAGCGCTTTTGTGGCTGTGAGAAGACAGTCGTTGAACTTTGTCTATTTTCTTAGAGTTAAAGTAGAAAATAATCCGTATTACCACTGCTGTGTAGATCCATGTTACAGTTTTGGGCCCTAGACCCCAGTTTTTGCCAATATCCCTGTTGCAGGAGTATATGGCAGTTGTGGCTTTGCGGACCCTTTCATCGATGTTAGGTCCCCCAATTTAGTTTCCTATCCAGAATTTACCCTTATCAGTTCTCTGTAGTGTGGCACTTAAGTGACATTTCCGAGAGATGGACGTGTGTTTCCTTGTAAATAGTACACGTTTTGATTTTGTGGAATTAACTCCCAAACCACGGTTTCTGCACCATCGCGAGAGATTGTTTAGTATACCTTGAATGAGATTAGTCAGGGTTGCTAAATGTTTTCCTGTAGCTGTAGTGGCAATATCATCGGCGTAGGCTACCACTCTGCCGCCCTTTCTTTCTATTTCTTTCAGCAAACTGTCAACGGCAATATTCCATAGTAGAGATTAGAGTATACCTCCCTACGGGATCCCCTTGCAGCGTACTTTTTGACGGAGGCATCTCCTAGTTCTGAGTTTATGACCCTAACTCGGAGGAGATTGTTGACAAACGCTATCAGTGTGTTTCAAAGTCCGAGTTCCTGGCGCGGTGAAATGACTACATCCGGACTACTACTATTGAAAGCACCTTAAATGTCCAAGAAGACAGATAGAGCATATTCTTTGTAATGTAAAGATTTTTCAGTTTCAAAGATAAGGCTGTGTAGAGCTGTATCCACACCCTTTCCTTTGTTGTATGCATGTTGGGAAGTAGAGAGCTTTGGATCAACTATTTCCCTAATTTGGGTGTCCAATATGCGCTCTAATGACTTCAGTAGAAAGGACGAGAGGCTTATTGGTCTGAAATCATTGCGAGAAGCTGCAAATAGCTTCCTTTATATTCCCATCAGAAATAGTGACAAGAGGGATTTCCCCGTCTGGGGCAGTGATCTGTGAATTGTTCGATCCTATGGTGTCGGAACAACCAGGAAAGTGTATCTGCATGAGAAGCTCAAGCGTTTCAGAACTGCTACTCGTCCATTAATAATTTTTTTAGCAAGTAGCTAAACGCGCTTGGGTTTTTCGAAAGGATCTTGCGTAATCGGTTTACCTCTGAGTTGCTTTCTATCGTTTGACTGCTCTGACAGCATTTTTAAATCTGCATTGGCAGTCCTTGTATTCATTCCACATATTTGACGCTTTCGCTTGACTAAATTTCATCCTGCATTCCTTTCGTAGGTTCATTATTTCCTGCGACCACCATGATGGTCGTTGCTTTCTCCTTTTTGTTTTGCAAAATGCTGCTTCCGTTGCTCTTTGAAAAGCATTCGTATGCCCTTCTACTGCTGATTGTAGCATTTGCCTATTCGCGAGATTTCCAGAGGTTTAAGGCAAAGATCTGAGTTTTCCCCAGACACATGCCAGTTGCTCACTAAATCCTCACCTCATCTGCTAGGAAAGGATACATCGAGCACCTCCCTTCTTTGGGATGTCACAAAAGTGGGGGTATCCTCAACATTACATATACTAAGATTATTGCTTAATAAAGATTTGAGAAGTAGCTCACCTCGATCGTTTGTATTTGAGCTACTCCAAATATCATAATGGGCATTCGCATCTGATCTAATGGTTAACGGGACGTTAGCGCTTCAGTTACCGTCTTCGTGACTAGTGCTGGTGGGGATGGCTGCTAATGTGCCCTGTGACATTAATATTTTTCTTTACTAATAAGCAAAACCTTGGCTTACCTTGATCTTTTGTGTAGATCAGCTGATAATCTTTACTGATCAGGTCGCAAACCCGATCTTTGATGACCCAACGTTCTTGGATAAGCACGATCTCCTCTTCTGTTTGAGCGAAACGAAGGAGTAGTGCGGCTAACGCCGTTTTGCTGTGGTATAGATTGATCTGTAGAATCTCCACCATCATCTTCAATATGTATAGGCGGACGCCCAATGACCGTACGACTGGCGTGTTCGTCCTCGCATAATGGGGAACGACCTCTTCGTCATCGCCAAGTGGACGCGGCTTCACAGTCCATAGGGCATTCGGTCTCCTAACTGTTTCCGCGTAAGGAGCATTCTTCGACATATCCTGTCGATACGCATGGAGGGCCAAAGCGTGGAAGCCGTAGTTGGTCCTCCAGTTGAGGCTGGAAAGGGGTACAAGTGATACCTTATTGAGGACAATTACCGCCACTCTTCGCTTGCCTATTGGCTCTTCCAGCGTACAACCTTCCAGTCGTGAGTTGGAAGTTCGCGATTGCCTAATTGTAT